GGCAATTTTGTTTAGCATTTAAGCACAAAGCTAAACAATGGGCCATCTGTGCTCTGCCCATCCACGGGTATCGAAATCCGGATTATAGCGTTGTAAGTCCACAGACATGCCACTGGGGGGGGGGCAATAAAAAAAGAAACTAGAGAATTTTAAATTTTCTATTTAACCGAAGTATAACGTACTTTTTAGTGTAATGTTTGTATTGTCAAAGGCAAAATTTAATTGTTTGCCAAATAAAATATTTTCATTAATAGAAAATTAGCTTTGTGATTGATAGTTTTTTCTTTTTTATACTGAAGATAAACGATTGTTGATTTTAAAGATTTCAAAACTGTTTGTTTAAAAGTCGTACTTGAAACTCGATTAATTTAAACCTCAAATACGTTTTGTACACGATACCGGTACTTAAAAGCTTACCAAACGAATATTTCAAAATGCTTCTGCGAGAGATCATAAAAACATCTGTGCGCGTTGTTACAAAATTGGACCGTTTTAGTGTATTATATTTCAACTCGGGTACCCTCAGCATATTACTGTAAGCACTACGTTAAGACTTCGGAACTAAATCCTACCCTCTATATTCGTTGTAAGTAACTAATTTGGTTACTTTGTTTTCTCGTGTGCCTAATCTGACACAGACATTAACTGCATTATTCAATTACAGATGTACGTAAACAACTTAAACGCAGTGTTACTTTCTCATGATTCTTCTGAGAGAAGTACTTATAAAGAATACGTTTCGGGTTTCGTAATCAGGACCACGTTCATTTTAAGGTGTATGTGTATAGACATGCATGTAGAGGTCCAAGATAAATACGTTCGCTATATAAGGTGCAACGTTTAGTTCATGCAACTTCAAACCACAGGCACCGAATTAATATACCTGAGCTATATTAACTCAACAATTTTCTCGGGCAGGAGAATATAAATGGGTAATAAAACAATCAGTACAACCACTCACGAGGTAAAGGTTCGACTGATCTAAGCTAACTCTAGAATTTCAGTTTGTTTGCTATATATATATATATATATAGGTTACGAACACAGTATAGAAA